ATTAGTGTAAAGAAATGCAACTGATTTTTGAACGTTGAAATAAATTATTAAAGAGCAATTGTTATTGTCTAATTTATTATATATCTAGTAACTTGAATTATCCAAAATATTGTTTCAGTGCTATATTATCCATCTTCATTGCATAGTCATTTATTATATTTAGTTAAGGAAATTATTTTGTACTTGAATCTTATTCTTTGATATTTGGTAGTTATGAATTCTTCAAATAAAATAATAAAGTTATACTCTACATATCCCGTGGCTTCTTTAAGAAGTAAGCTCATATTTTTCAAAGTTGATAATGCAGGTAAAATTTTCAGATGAATAGAGATACCTAGACCTCACATAATTCCTCAGCTCTGTAAATTAATCGTCTGCTGTGTGTCTCTTTGGCATTTCTCTGGACCCCACCAGTGGCTGACTGGGAATGGGTGTAGGGATGCTGCTAATAGTGACTTACCACTGACTCAAGGGTAGACATACTTCCATTTATTCTTCATGGTGGATTGGGATGGTTGAAACATTTAGAAAAGGCCAAGACTCCTAGATAACCAAGGTAATTAACATGAAGAGTAAATTAACTTCACTCACTAAGTCAAGGTCCTTACTGTGACCTACAAGGCCCTATGTGATCTGGCCTCTGGTGTGTTTCTGACCTTCCATCCTTCTTCCCTTCCCTTTCTCATTGGGTCTTGCCACACCAGCTTCCTTGCTGATACTGGAACATCCCTGCATGCCCCCATCTTAGTGCCTTTGTTCCAGCTGTACTCTTTTGCCCCAGATATTTGCATGACTGACTCCCTCCTGCAAGGCCTTGCTCACACTTTACCGTCTCAGTGAGGCCTGTCCTGATCACCCTATGTAAAACTGCAATCCACCTCCCATCCCCGCTCTTGCTCTGCCTTACCCTGCTCTGCTGTTTTTCTGTAATATTTAATTACCTTCTCACATTCGATATAACCTATAATTTGCTTATTTCTTAAATTTATTATTATTGTTCATCTCCTGCCACTAAGCTGTAAATATAATAAGGAAAGAGTTTCTTTATTAGTTTTTGTTTTTCATTGTTGTGGTTCTTTTAATAAGCAGGTATATCTCAAGTACCCTAGAACCCTGGTATAGGTGTAGAGAAGGTGGTCATAAATTATTTGTTTAATAAACAAGTCCAGATCCAAGAGAGCCAGGCCTAGACAGATGAAAGAACACCCTTTCTTGCCATCTAAGTTCTGTTTTTTAACTCTTCTTGGGTTGATTGTCAGTGAAGAATGACTACTTGGTGGAAACCCTGACCCTACCTTGTACAAATGTGGCCCTGTTATGCTGTGGCTTTCCCTCTGTATTCCCAGATCCATGGTGTTAATGGATGGTTTCACCACTTACGTTGTGCAGTAGTTCAGCCTGGAACAGAAATGATCTTTAGTAGTAAACTGAATCGCCAAGATAATAGGACCGGTATAGTGGATTTGTACCTTTATAACCTGTCCCGGGTTTGAGAAATCCCTACGAGTTAGATGAATTAAGTTCTGGTTCTGACTGTAACCAACTCATTGTCTTATATTGTATGGCTCTGGGCTTATATTTCTTCAGTTAAAAATTGAACTAGACTGTATTTTTTTTCTTACTGTGAAGTTTAGCTATATCACCAGAAACATTTTAAGCTTTATAATTTAGGAACCCTCTTTCAAAATATGTTAGCATTTAGGTTAATAATCATGTTACTGTATTATACATAAGATTTATACTTGGTAAGATGCTGCATATCTAAAAACAGTTGCAGATACTAGTAGTGTCTAGAACCTAACAATCATTCTTTTCTTATGTAATTTCACAAGAAAAAGCAAATTTGTGATAATCCGTAGAATTTAATTAACTAAAAAATTAATTGAGTCTTTTTTGTTGTTGGTTTTTTGGGGGGAAGGAGGTAATTAGGTTTATTTATTTGTTTACTTTTTACTTTTTATTTTTTTAATGGAGGTCCTGGGTTTAATCCCATGCATGCTAAACACACACTCTGCCACTGAGCTATACCCCCTGCCCCCCACCCCAGTTGTGTCTTTAGACTTGATAAATAACTCATGTGCTAGAATCGTCTCCCTCTCTTTCTCTCTTCCTTCTCTCCATTATTTCTTCTCTATCCTTTGGGTTGTCTATCCGTTTGATTATCTATTGTAGATCTATTGTATCTAAAAAAAAGTTTCCCTTTTTTTGCTTAGAGAACAAAAGGATGACACTTTACAGGTATTTTTTATAAATTCTGCTTTTTGAATATATATTTTATTCATCATTATACCCCCTAGAATCCAGCATATTGTTTAATATGTAGTAGATGCTCCTTAAGTGTTGCTTGGATGAATTAATTTGCTTTTATTTTTCCCCCAATATTTAATTGACTCAGAAAGTGATTTTTAAATTTTTATTATTTTAAGAAAGGTGACTCTTGTGATGGTGGGACTTGATAATGCTGGTAAAACGGCAACAGCAAAGGGAATCCAAGGAGGTAAGCTGAAAAAATTTATTATTAAATTATGCCTATTTACTTATTTATTTAAATTGCTTTATTATGTCTTCATTGGCTACAGAGAGTGTGCACTCTGTTACTTTATAGTCTTACTATAGTTATGGGTAATGTGGTGAATAAACTCCGGCTTAAGAGTACCAGCCTGTTATGTTTCAGATTTGAATGAATGCAGAGATGCAGAGGCTTCTTGAGGTGTTTGATTAGCCAAGAGGGATCACATCTGTCTTCTAACCAACAGGAAGGAAAACTGAAAAAAAAAAAAAAAGGACATGTACCTGCCTTAAAGATTTACCCTTTACTTATGTTCTCTTGGCCAGAATTTAGTCACAAGGCTACACCTAAATGAAAGGGAGGTAGGACAGTAGTTAGCCAGCACAGCTCTCTTTGCATCTCTTGAATTTTTTTTCAACATGATACGTAATTTTTACAGTTATGTTAAAGATACATTAAAGGGTTTTATGTTATTTACATTACATCTCTTTGGATGTATTTATTTAGTCTTAAATCTTATTACTGTTTTAAGAAATATTTAATTCCTTTTATTTGAAGTTCCATCAGTCTGTGTGTACTATTTAATGCTTTGTAATTTCAATATAGAAGTTACTATGGTAGTGAATTTGTTGTGTACCCAGAAGACGTAGCATGAGCCAGACATCTGAAGGGTATGAATTGGAGGAAAACCTAACATTTATTTGTTCCTGAAAATGGATGTTGCAACAAGATAACATGCATACCAAATAGTCAGGAAGTATTTATTTATGAAAGTATTTGTTTATGAAAGAAAATTAACACCTTGTAAAACTTGTAAAACTGTTGGAGAAAAATGTTTTGTCATTCCAAATTCTGCTATGTAAGATCAGACACAAACTGTATATTACTATCTGTGGATTCTTCTAAAGCCTTTTTGGTACCCCTAATGCTGTCACTTAGCTTATATGCTCATAGAACACTCACTGTCACCATCTAAATCTGGGGTTTGCAAACTTCTGTAAAGAGCCAGATAGTCAATATTTTAGACTGAGGGACATATGGTCGGGCTCCTTTCCAGCTACACAACTCTGACATAGTGCTGTGAAAGCAGCCATAGACAATATGTAAACAAATGAGCATGGCCATGTT